CGGATTCGGATCCAATGGTGACAACAGTGCTAACCAGCTGATTCCCCGTCCATTTCAGTGAAGTTTGGAAAATTATGCGATTATGCGAAAGCATAAAGTGCACATCCTTAGCTATAGGGTCTTTTTTGACGAAAATAAGCTAAAAATTGCCATAGTGAACAATAAGTTGTACAAAAAGGCCTTAAAACCGCAAAATGGAAAGGAAACTCTTCCCCTACCCCCAAATACGTTTTCTTAGCCGAAGGGTGGGTTGTAGTCGCGGTGCTTCACTGTTACATCCCTTTCTCGAGTCTTTGGAGCAAACTCAAAGACGACGGGTTTAAGCGGGCCGAAGGTCCGCTACATCATTTGGATCATGTTCTTCAGCAAATCGCGTGACAGAAATGGTCGGTGGTCGGGGGCGGAGCGAAGCGCAGCTGGCAACTTCGTTTGGCAGAAGGGCGGGCCTGCTTGTTCTTTTAAGTGTGCAATAAGGCGTTAAATATTTTTGTATTGAAGCTTCTATCCCGTTGAACACTTTAAGATGTCAGGCAGCAGCCTGGCTACGTTTGAATTTGCGCGCGTTGCTCCGCTTCGCTCTACCAGCAACTCCGTTCGGCCGACTATTTCCGTCACGCGATTTGCTGAAGAACATTATCAACTGACGTAACGGGCCTTCGGCCCGCTAAAAACCCGTTGTCTTGAAAATTTGCCCGGTAGACACGAGTTGGGGAAGGGATGTAACGGTGAAGCACCGCGACATTAAACCACCCCTCTGCTTAGAAAACTTGTTTTTGGAGGGGGGGGGGGAGTTGCTTCCCTATTTTGTGGTTTTTAGGCCTTTTCCTACAACTTATTGTTTACTGCAGCAAATTTTAGCATATTTTCGTCAAAAAAGACCCTCCAACGCCTAAACGGTTAGAGATATAGCCAAACGGACGAAATTTTCGCCCATAGGGCTTTGCTTTGACACTTAGATTGGATACCTCAAGGAAGCATTAAAAAAAACCATACTTTTGTGGGCGAATATTTGAACCTTTGATACCCCCAATCAAACCCTTAGGGGTGGTTGCCTGGATTTGCTGTAGGCGTTTCGTTCTCTAGGAGTACTCCTAGGTTCATGAACCTTAAGATTCTCTGAAAATTTCAAGTCTCTAGCACATCTCCTTCTAGTGGAACAGACAGACACACACACACGCAGACACGAGGTCGTTTGCATATGCCCGCTGGATAGCGTTTCCAAAGTAGAACGGCGGGCTAAAAATGACAGAGAAAATAATATCCAAAACAGCACATTCTGAATCAAAACCATTCCTTGGAATTTCCGTATCTTCAGCCGTATTAGAGCTAGGGGGTCGATATACCTTAAATCAATGGCAAAAAGTCCACTTTTGAGGTTTGATAAACAATACAAGCTGAAAACTCCACTTGTTATTTACATATTCATTTTCGAAGCTGAAGGTGTCGCACCGTTACAGTCTTTTCTCAGGTCTAAGGAGCTAATCTTAAAGTATGCAGCCCCCTCCCCCCCGAACCTTAGCTTGATCGATAAAATTGTGAGTAATAGGTTATAGGCTTGTTTGAAGTAGAATCAGAATTGGTCAATCCGAAAGGGTAAAATATTTTAGTCGACACCAGTGCGTGTCTGCGAGGCCTGTGGTGAGTAGAGAGGGAAGAGTCTAAAGGTTTTAAACAAGAAGTACGCACTGTTGTACCTGACGGCTTTTGGTAACTTCACCAACGCAATGTCATGGTGAAAATACTTGTCCTGTGTTGGCCCCTTGTACAAGTGGTGCGGAATAATCTTGCTGGACGGGAACTGCAATAAGAGTGTGCAACTTACAACCAGTTGCAACAGTACTGCTGAAGTTCCTGAAACAATCTGATTCTCGGCGAACCCCCCGCTAGCCTGTCCCATGTAGCTAAAGTATAAAAATATTTACTAGCCACCTTATAAATAGCTGTCTTTTGGTCATTTTTGCCTACTGTCAAGTGGTTTTTAAGATATTTAGAAATTCAGACATTTTTCATCCAAATAACTAAATAGAAGGAGGACTTTTCGGTCTGCTTAAACCCGTTAAGGGGAAGCTACAGTGAAAAGTTGGTCGTTTGGAATGAAAATGACCTCTAAGAAATTTAAAACAGTAGCTGACTCATACTTGCAACCCATTCACATTTGTGTATGCTACCAACACTTCTTGGTCAGAGAAACATCTTTCATCCAACTACACATTAAAAGTCATTGTATTAGTAGTGTTGTTACTAACATTCAAACACTCAATTTTGACCTATTAATTAAGCGCTCTAAAAACTTCCTGCGCAATGGGTTTAGAGTAACGCACCAGACAACATAATAAACGTGATCTTTGTGTTCCCCGCAACAGTTCTGACTGGGCAAAGCTATTCAATCCTTCTCCTTAAAATATATTTTAAATAAT